TCAGAATGAGTGACTCTTGATCTCAGGGTCATGGGCTAAAGCTCCACAATGGGTGTAGAGATTACCAAAACCAAACTTTTAACGGTAAATAAAAACACTCTGCTTATCTTACAAAATGAGTCTCCACAAGAATAGAAACATGGTTCTAAAGCCATCTAAAGCTCTTCCTGCCATCTTTACGAACCCCCAAACCGCCCCCACCCAGGTCATCTCAGAAGGCTTTGAGAACAAAAGTCCTTCTTGGTGGAAGTTGCGTTCTTTCTCTGTGTCTTCTGAGATGGAAGAATTCTACCTGGTCTGCTCTGTGTAATTCTCATCGGGGAAAAAAGATCTTTAAATCCTTCTCTACAAATATTAGTGGAAAGTAGAAGCCATGTGAACCGGTAACCTTAATTTATTCTATTCTGCCTAAAACAAAATTTGTATCCAACTGTTCTTTCATAAACTAGTGAGTTCTGCACTATTATAACTATCTTAGAGCTGAAATCTTAAAGCTCCAAGACCTCTGTTTGTGTCTGCAGGTTTAGGCATGTCAGTGTATATGCCATATAAATGTAATTTTTTTTTTTTTTTTTAGCTCCAGATGATGTTGCCCAAATTAATTTGTATGGAGCCCTATTTGGCTTAAGGACAAGTGTTACATAAATCAGGTATATTCTCAGAACACAGAAACTAACCCAAATGTTTTTCAAGCTCATGTGATCTAGGATAATCTTCAGTAAATAAAATCTAGTTTGTTTGTTGGTTTAATTAAAACAGGCATGTCTTTAGAGTTATTAAATATAATGTGAACATAAAACTTTTATTCTACCTTAGTTTACTAAAAATCAAATAAGCTCATTTCTGTTACAGAATTTGTCAGCAAGAAAGGTAGGATGGTGGTTAGCAGTTTAATACTGTGAAATTTTCACGACCAGCCTAAATTGTTAAGAACAAGTGAATTAAACAGATGTAAATTAAAGTTTATAAATGAATTTTTCACCAACAATTATGCTTTTTGGTATGTTTCAAAATATTTTTGGTAACTTGAAACCTTAAAGTAATACTGAGATAAATAATGGATATTCATGGAATATCTACATCAGTTTCCAAATAAGAATACTGAAACACTGGGGGACCTGGGTGGCCCAGTCGGTTGAGCATCTGACTTTTAGTTTCGGCTCAGGTCGTGATTTCAGGGTCATGGGATCGAGCCCCAAGTGGGGGCTCCACACTCAGCCGGGAGGCTGCTTGACATGTTCTCTCTCCTCCTTCCTCAACCCCAGCCCCTGCACGTGCTCGCTCGCTCCCAAATAAATGTGTTGTTTTTTTTTTTAAAGATTTTATTTATTTATTTGACAGCCAGCCAGCCAGCCAGCCAGAGAGTTAACACAAGCAGAGGGAGGAGAGGGAGAAGCAGGCTTCCCGCTGAGCAGGGAGCCTGATGTGGGGCTTGATCCCAGGAGCCTGGGCTCATGACCTGAGCCACCCAGGTGCCTCTCAAATCTTTAAAAAAAAAAAAAAAATACTGAAACATTAATTACTGAACAAAGGTTTACCACTTTTGCCTTCCTTTTATAGAGGAAATAAAGGCATTTGGCTCTAACAGTAAACACATTTTGTGCTAGGTTGGAAAATTTACTGAGAGGAAGAATATGCTTTTAGGAACCATGAAAATGTGTCTATAAATCTGCCAATCCACGGACTCCTAGTTTAGGAGTCTCCAATTGTTTACTTCTCTGTTTTCACTAGGAATGAAGGATCGTGAAGGTGACAAATTTTAATCAATGCGTAGTGACAAAAGCTTCTTAGAAATAGTAAGGGTGGGGGCACCTGGGTGGCTCAGTCAGTTATGAAGCACCAGACTCGATTTCTGCTTAGGTCATGATCTAAGGGCTGTGAGATCGAGCCCTGCCTTGTTGAGCCTGCTTAAGATTCTGCCCCACAACCTCTCTCCCTCTACCCTCCCATTCTCCCCTCCCCACACTCTCAAAGTTGGGGTGGGGCGAAAGGAAACACCTGTGTATGGAAAGTAGATAAGGAAAGTAAAATGATTGCTAAATTTTCCACAATTAAGGAGAAAACCCAGGACAAAATCTGGACAGAAAAAACTTGTAGAAAATTTGTGGATAAGGAATCTTGGGAAAGTCATTTAAGTGTAGTGAAGCTGGCTGAGACTGGAATATAGATTAAAGAATAAAGATTGAATCTATATTGGAATATAAATGCATTAAAAATGTGTTTTAGGAAAAAAAACCATTTTAGTATCAAAAATACAGATACAAAAATCAGAATTTGGTTTTCTCTGTTCAAAGGACAAAGTTCTCATAGATGATTGTTCTGCTCCTAATAAGAAATTGCAAAGGTGGTCTTGTGGGGTTTTTTGTCTTGTTTTGTTTAACCTTTGGACAGCAAAGGATGTTGTTCTTCCCCATATTACTTACTCACTTTACACTGTTTTTATCAGATATCTGATTACTTAAGAAAACGCAGTCTTCACAATATTGGGAGTTTTCTGTTCACAACTATATAACCGCCTATATTTACCTCAGTATCTCTTCTATTGTGACTTGCACTAGATAATTATTTTGTAATTATACCTGTCATCCTATTTAATCAAACTTTTGACATTTTCTTAAAATTCTCAATAGTTTTTTGTTGGTGGTGGTTTTTTTTTTTTTTTTTACCTCAAACTAACTTCGAGATTTCCCAGAGGGCCCCTGGAAAATCTCAAAGGCTGTCTTTCATTAATTTAACCAGTTAAAATATGTGGGAAGCATTGTTAAATGCTTAGATTATATGTGTACAGTAAACCTTCGGCTATATGATGGGGCGCCTGGGTGGCTTGGTTGGGCATCTGCCTTCAGCTCAGGTCATGACCCCAGGGTCCTGCATCGAGCCCCCACATCAGGCTCCCTGCTCAGGGGGAAGGCTTCTTCTCTCTCTCCCTCTCCCTCTGCCTGCTGCTCCCCCTACTGCTCACTCCCTCGCTCTGTCAAATAGATAACCCTTAGGTTATATGTGTACGGATATATATTACTAACATAAGTAATCCAGAAATTGCAATTTCTAGGTATTTGTCAAAATTCTCATTGTCCAATTACCTTAAATGATGAAATAACTACATTTCCTTCTACGAAGAACTCATCAGATTATTAACCATGGGCATTTTTAAAGTCTTATCATTTATAGACAGTTGCTTTACCCTGATGCTTTTGTAAAAGTGAGATTCGAGGAAAGGACCCTACCAAGTACTCTGACTAGTGACACTGTTGCCGAGTTACAAGGTATTAAACCCTGGGTGGAGATTTTGCACTGAAGATGGCTCCTAGGCCTGTGCAAATGGCCGGAGATCTTAAGAGAGACCAGGAAAAAAAGCAGCCAACATTGAGGTAGACGGCTTTCTCCTAAGACGTGGGGCCAAGAATGTTTCTTTCTATTCCTTCCTTCTCTGACCATCCTTTCCCTAATTCTTATACCATGAAGGTCTTTAGGACTCTTCTGTTCACCTTTGCCTTGCCTCTGGCCCAGAAACTACCTTGTTCACATACCTCAAGCAGGTCATCAGCATCTAAACATCTGTTGGATTTATTACAATGCTGGTGATCCCATAGTTGTGTCTATCACAAGCTTCTCTCTGATTTCCAATCCCTTAGTTTCTTTGGAACAAGTTCAGCTCTCTCTTAGTCCTGTCAGGCTCCCTAACCCTCGGGTCAATCCCTCACTCTCCAGTTAACAACCCCAAACCTGGGGAACCTTGAATCCAGGCTCGGAACCAAGAAACATACGAGAAGCTACCCAGAATACAACCACCCATGCAGTCCATAGGTCCTGAAATTGTACTGGCCTCTGTGGCTGTCAGCTGCCTGGCCCCAAGCCACAGACGCAAACCACATTTCCCAGGAAGCCTTCATGATTCCAGATTCACTTCCTTCAACAGATTCCGCTCTTCACCTGGCTAAGCATGAGTGCAAATGCGGAGATCAGAACGTCTCCTCAGCCCCTGAAGGTCCTGAAGAATCCGCTGCTACAGCAACAGCTGCCCCACAGTGGCAAGCCGACCCTCAGCTCTCCCACCAGAGAGATTCCTGGTACCAGGAAGGCCCTTGGTTACCTGTCAGCTGAGCAAGGAGGTGTCTGTGCTGTGGCCGGTGCCACTTGCTGCACTTGGGAGACACCTGTGCGCCACATGGAGACTCAGCTAAGATCTGTGAACACACCAGCTGGCCTAAGTGACTCCTTCAAACAGGGTCTTTGGTGACTGATGTGGGTCTTGGGGACCATGGCTCTGGAGCACACTCCAGACACTGGGATTTATCCTGCTTATAGCCCTAATAGCTCCCTGGTCTGAATCTCTCAGAAGCTTTAAATCCATGTATGCTGCCACTTACAAGGATGCAAATGATCTCCCTAAGAATACAGCATCAGAAAAGGAACAGAGATTGACCAAAGTAAAGAATGTGAACCCAACACTGGGAGAAAACTGCAAGAACACCAGACTGGGAGCAGAGAGGAGCACGAATGCCTTAAGTTTTGATCCCATCTCTCAAGGCTGAGAGTCTCATCAAAAGGGGGGTTAGTGTTAGGAACAAGAGGCCCAACACAGGGTCACTTATCTTAAGCCCCATGTCAGCAAACACAACTTAGTTACAGCTTCGAGGCTCCAGGCAATGGAGTCTTCACCGGGACTCGCCCAATCCACGCTCGTTAACCTGCCTGACAGACCCGCCAGCCCCTAACGTCAGTGGCTTCGTAATAACCGGCCTCTTCTTTTGCCAAGTTGGGCTGTCTGACCTGTGCTTCGTTTCGAAGGGCACTTTGCACTGAAGCAGGCCATCACGCACAAAGAAGCCGCGGCCCCGATCCCAGGCAGCTGGGCCGCGCGATCGCGTGCTCCCTCGGCAGCAAGCACCTACGTGGGGAAGGAGGACAGCAAACCTCGCCACCGGCAACGAGCACAAAGTCCACCGAGGTGAGGAGCAGACAGCGAGTTAAAACAAAAGGTTAGGGCACTCTTGGACCGTAAATATCAAACCAACTCCGGGTCAGCCACAGGATGCTAACTACGTCAAGAAAGAACGTATACAAAAAAAAATAAGACGCTGGGTTTGGTAGTTTGTTTGTTTGTTTTTCCTCAAATGGCTGTTGAATTTATTTGCTTGATCAATAACGGTCCTGGCAAAAATTAGTTAACCAACGCTGAGACAACTGTAATGAAATACTAATTTTAAAAATCCATGACACCTTGATAGAAATTAGAGTTTACACAAACAAAAAAAGGTATCTTCAATATTGCCAGCAAATGAAATGAATGTAATATGACCGACGGGACAGCAAGAAGGCTTTTATACGTTTATATTTGACACCTGACCGTATTTTCAGTCACCATAATATCTTCTCTCCAGATTTAAAAAAATAGTATGCTGATTTCTATAACAAAGCTTTTTTTCGTACAAAAATCAAACAATGGCCAACAAGTCACAACAGTGCAATAGGTAGAGAATAAAAAACCGCATCAAACAGGTGCTGAAAATAAATAGTAACTAAGAGAGGACAGAGCCCTCGTGGGGGGTTTGTTTCCATCACCTTGAGTGTGTGGGGTCTGTCTTCACAGCCGTGAAAGCTGACCTACCTCATGGGTGCCACTGATTCCGACAGAGCGTGACTGGACAAGGGTGCCTGAGGGCGGACCTCCCAGATGCCTCAGTCACCAGAGAAGTTGCAGAAGCAAGAAAACAGGGTCGGGGATCACAGCTATCATTTAAAGGAAAAGTTTTCTTTTTCTATTGCTCAATCTTATCAATTGGGAGTCCATCAGCAGGTTCACTGAGATGAAACAGGTCACTGGAAACTTTTGTCTAAGAGCATATATGGCTTATTCAGGCAAAGAGACTTTTACATTCTAGCCCAAGCAAGCAATCTCATTCTGTGTTAACGGCAGATCAGTCACACAGATTATTTCTGGGTTCAGAAACAGATCCTCGGTGTGGGTGCCTCAGGCCAGGCAGCTACCTGCGACCAACCCAATGAAAACATGCGCTGATCACCAGCAGCGAGGAGCCCACAGGAGCGAGGCGGCTGGCCCGGGGCCAGTGGGCAGGCTCCACAGGCAGCTCTGTCTGGGACTGGCTAGGCCATCCTGTGACTTCAGGCTCGTGGACTGGGGTTTAGGACCATCAAAGGAGAGAGTGACAAGGGTGGGTAAAGGTTAACCTCAGTAAGAGCCGTTCTGGCCCATCAGGAGATAAAATGAGGCAGCTCCCCATTATATAATCTGCACCGAAAAGGTGTAAAAGGCACGAGCAAGAGTGACTAGTAAGCAGAGATCCCGGAGGGTGAGACTATGGGGCAACCCACAAGGCAGGAACAGTGTTCACCTTGTTTGGTTTCCCCCCATTGAACGACAGAAAGAGATCCTGATTCTGCTGTAATAAAAAAGCAAAGAAAGACGATTTTTGGTTTAAAAAGAAGCCACTCAAGGGTTAAAATAGTTTTAAGTTAACAAAGAAAATTAATCTTCAAATAAGCTGACACTATCTGGAAAACTCATCTGTCCCCTAAAAGCCCACACTGCGTGCACTGCTTTGTCCTCCCGTGTAACCTGAGCCTGACGCGGAGAAGTCATACGTGTGAAAAGAAGGAAGAGTCTGAGAAGAAAAGACATCTTTACAGAATGTACAGCAGAGAGTTGTCCACTCCGACTCTCAGGGTTACAGTAAGATGCACAGGTCTCGTCGGGTCTGGGGATTCTGTGGCGCTCGGGCCGCTCAGATGGGCGTCTCCTTCCTGTCTCTGCTCGGGGACGGCTTGGCCTGCTCCTTGCCTGCCTTTGGCTGCTCCTTTGCTGCCTTCGTCTCCGCGGCGCTGTCTCTGGGCGGCTGTCCGGCACCGCCACGCCTCTCGGGCTCGGCCTCGTCCTGCACCTGCAGTTCGGGCTTGGCTCGCTGCAGCTGGAGCAGGCGCAGCTGCACCCGCAGTTCGATGATGGCCTCCCGCTCCTCGTGAATCGCTTGATTCAAATGATTGTTCTTTATCTTGAGGAATGACAAAGGAACAGTTGTCACTTAAGAAGGGGAGAGCCACAATGAGGAACAAGGGTATCCTACACAAGAATCTATTTCTGTTTTAGTCAACTTGTGAAACAGGAGAGGAGAACACGAATATGCAAATGAGACACATAAACACCTTGACCCGGAATGCACAAAATCCTCCTTACAGAAGAGTAAACACATCTGGAAAAGATACATGCAACAAGAGAAAACAATTTGCTTAATGATATTAAATATTTTAGTGTTTAAAATGGTTTGTTTTAAATTGGCTCCTGACCATCCCTTAGGTAAGTGGAAGATAGAAGTGACTTTACCAGCCATCAGAAATGACAAGTCAGAGACAGGAGAAAATCCCAGACTTGGCTCAAAAGCAGATGTCCTTGTCTGTTGTGAACTGCATCACTTCACACATGTCCTGTGCTACTTGGGCAAACAAGAACGCTATCGGTTCTACAGGCTTCACTCCTTCAGCAAAGCCGAGGGAGCTAATCCCAAACTCCGCTGAGCTCCCAAGGCGGCGGGCTAGCGCCTACGGCTCGGCAGTGGCCTTCACCCGCCGCACATGTGTCCCAGCCTCCCCTGCAGCCAGCTGTAGCTGGGCGCCGCGCGCCTCTGACGGTCGGTCACATCGGTAAGGCGCTGCTTGCCCTTAACCACCAGGCGTTCTTGGGTTCCTTCCCTGTTCCTGCTAATAGTGGATAAAACCTAAGGGGCTACTCTGGACCCCACGTGTCTTCCACTCGTGTGGAGGGTGGGAGACCTAGATGTCTGCCAGGCAAGGCACAGAACTGTCTTGTTCCAAAACGGAAGAGTATGCTCTTCGTTAAAGCAGCTAAGCCTGTACCCTAAGTACTACAATTGTGGAATGTTTTCCTACTTAGGATTTTCATATGATCTGTAAAACGTTAAGAAAGCAAAATAAAGTGCCAACACGAGGCCCTTCTAAAGATGTGAAGCTACATGGAGGCCCAGGTCCCAACCGTGGCTCTGCTGTTCCCACAACACAGCCCTGGCTATGGCAAGTGTTCTGAGCCTGGAGCCTCGGTGGGCTGCCCCGTCTCAACTCTGTCCGTAGGACTTACTGTTTTCTGTGGAATTCTGGTTTTCTATGCAGTGGGTGGCTCTGATCTGCCCCAGCTGCTGAATGTACCGGGATGAGAGAAAGTTACCCCACCATTCTTGGAATCTAGGACAAGAATGGCTTTCTCTCAACCCTGAGGTAAAACATCCGGAGACAATGATTAATCTGGAGTAAGAAGGGAAATTCTGGTCGGGATCATGTAAATCTCTTGCTTTCACTTCACCATGCGCTTGCCTCCCAGATCCCCAGTGCCAAATTTATTCACACTGGCTGCTTCAAGGGTTGAGGGACGAGAGAAAACTTTGTCCCCATTTTACCCACAGGTGAGTCAGGCGACTCTTCCTTCTTCCACCAGCATTTCTCTTTCTGTTCATCTCTGGGAAGTTAGCCCAGATCTTCCACAACTGTTCAAGGACAGTCAGGCGAGGCTTCCCCGTAAGTGGGAGTCACCACACCCAGGGATGCCTGGTGAGGTCACACCTGTGCTGTGTGCTCAGCCAGGACCAGCTCACGCCCTGCACACACTGGTGAGATGTCCCCTAAACTCCTCTCTACTCAGCCTCCCCGCTGTTTCCCAAGGAAAAGATGACTTCTAAGGGAAAGAGGTGACCTCTACAAGTTTTGGGAAGCTGGTGCTCACTTCTAGTTCTTCATTCTGCCTCTGTAAGTCCTCCAGGATGATCTGAAGCTCCTCTTCGTCCTCACTCTCACTCTCACTGTCCGAGGAGTACTCCTCGGTCTCACTGCGGCCATGCTGCTGACGGCTGCGGGCGGGAGATCAAGAGAAAAGGACAGTGAGCAGAGGAAGGAATGCTGCTTCCTTCCTACCCTTTTAGATTCACCAGGTTTTCATGAATCAGCTTAATATAGCATCATTCTTAAGGCTTAATCAAGAAGAAACTTAGGGGGCGCCTGGGTGGCTCAGTGGGTTAAAGCCTCTGCCTTTGGCTCAGGTCATGGTCCTGGGATCGAGCCCCGCATCGGGCTCTCTGCTTGTCGGAGAGCCTGCTTCCTCCATTCTCTCTCCCTGCCTACTTGTGATCTCTCTCTGTCAAATAAATAAAAATCTTAAAAAAGAAGAAGAAGAAACTTGCGGGGTGGGGGACGCCTGGGTGGCTCAGTGGGTTGAGCCTCTGCCTTCAGCTCAGGTCATGATCTCAGGGTCCTGGGATCAAGCCCCACACCGTGGGCGGGGGGGTGTCCTGCTCAGCAGGAAGCCTGCTTCCCCCCCGCCCCTGCCTACTTGTGATCTCTGTCAAATAAATAATAAAATCTTAAAAAAAAAAAAAAAAAGAAAAGAAAAGAAAAGAAAAAACTTAGGGGCGCATGGGTGGTCAGTCATTGGAGCGCCGACTCTTGGTTTCAGCTCAGGTCATGATCCTAGGGTCATGGACTCGACCCTGCTTGTGCTCCATGCTCTGCAGAGTCTACTTTAGAGTCTCTCTCCCTCTCCCCTCACCCCCAACTGTGTACACACTGTCTCTCTCAAATTTTAAAAACAAAGAGAAACTTAAAGATGACTGATTTGGATGCCTAGTTCTTTTGTATGAAAGTCTGAGAGCTAAAACAATTTTATGTTTATATTTAACTAAATATTCTTGTAAACTTAAAACCCTCTGCTTTCCTTTACCTCTGAATTTCAGCAATCTCGGCTCTGAGGCGTTCAATCTCTTCTTTTTCTGAGGCAATCTGTCGGCGCAGAAACTGCTCCATAGCTAGAAGCTCCTCCTGTTCAGTCAGGATCTCATTCTCCTGAAATAAAGACCACTGGTGAACACCTTTGAAAGTATGAGTCTAGGAAAAATCACTTTTCTGGGACATTGTTCCCTTGAATTCTTTAGCCCTATACATAAGTAACACAAGTTATGGGAAAGCTTGGACTGCAAAGCTTGTATCCTATTTCCTTAATGTTAAGGCTTTCTGAGAAAAGGCTCTCTGGGAGGAATGTCTAGATTTTTCTCAAGACATAAAATGCCACCTAGGAATCCCATGTCCTCATTTTGCAAAAGTTCCCTATGAGGCCATCATATCAGGCACAAAGCCAAAGGTCAAGTGACTATGTCTGTGTTTGATTCTCAGTCCCTTCTGAACACCTTCCCACCTCTCAGTAAAGGGAGTGTCTGTTTCAGGGTCAAGATGGCCCGTGACCGTGCACTGGGATAAGGACCCAGGAAATAGCTGATGTCAGTATCACCTTAAAGCAGATCTAGTAAAGGCAAGATGTTCCCAGAAGAAATCTTTTCTCCTCACCAAAAGCTACCATCCTCCTCAACGCATGTCCCCAGAGATGATAAACAGCAAATATTGTGCTTTCACAGAATATGCATTTTTTTTTTAAATTTTATTTATTTATTTGACAGACAAAGATCACAAGTAGGCAGAGAGGCAGGTAGAGAGAGGAGGAAGCAGGCTCCCCAAGGAGCAGAGAGCCCGATGTGGGGCTCGATCCCAGGACCCTGGGATCATGACCTGAGCTGAAGGCAGAGGCTTTAACCCACTGAGCCACCCAGGTGCCCCCAGAATATGCATTTCTAAAACTGAATCACCAAAGTGGGGGGAAAGAAGATCTACCCAACCCCTCCAACCTAGAAAAAAGAACCAAACCAGAATGTCAGAGGCAGAAATGTATGGCTATGAGAACAAGGAGTTGTAGGCAAAGGTCTATAGCATTTCCTTCCCAACTTCTAGGTATCCAGAGGATAAGCACCTGTGATCAAACCTGAAAGACACTGTGGTCAGGTTCTAGAGGGAACCATTCAAAGCCTCTGGCGAGCATGAGTGAGCTCTTGGAGATGGAATATGCAGTGTTCCTTCCCCACGGGTTTCTAAACACAGATGCCTTCCCTTTACCACAGTGCACCTAGTAAAACTAATGTGCTGAGAAATATCAGATTGGAAAAGTCTGAAATAAAGACATAATCTGGGGTGCCTGGGTGGCTCAGTGGTTAAAGCCTCTGCCTTCGGCTCAGGTCATGATCTCAGGGTCCTGGGATCGAGTCCCGCATTGGGCTCTCTGCTCAGCAGGGAGCCTGCCTCCTCCTGTCTCTCTCTGCCTGCCTCTCTGCCTACTTGTGATCTGTCAAATAAATTAAAAAAAAAAAAAAAAAATCTTTAAAAAAGACATAATCTGGAAGCTCATCTTGCCTTCAGGGGAAGAGCTATGTGTCCCTGACAGGCAAAACATGGTCTTTCTCAAGTGACAGAAAAGGCCTGGAACTTGCCTGGCTTTAGGTATCCCACATTCATGGATTTCTGGGAGTACAGACTCTGCTGTCAGAGCCTAGAATTTCATTCATTTCTGGTTAAACTCTAGAAGATTCCAGAACAGAGTAAGGTTGACTAAAGAAGTTCAGAGGGAAAGAAAGGAGCTCACCTTCAGCTCTACACCTAGAACAACAGATACTAAAGAACTATTTGTCAAGTCAATGAAAAATAAAACAAGTTATCTCCAACAACTTTCAACCACAAAGAATAAAATCAAAATATCTTAACATATTATCAGCAACAACAATCAGATAAAATCTGTTCTGTGATGGGGCGCCTGGGTGGCTCAGTTGGTTAAGGCACTGCCTTAGGCTTGGGTCATGATCCGGGAGTCCTAGGATCAAGTCCCATGTCAGACTTCCCTTGCTCTGCGGGGAGCCTTCTCCTCCCTCTCCCTCTGCCTCTCCCCCTGCTTATGCTCTCTCCTTTTCTCTCTCTGTCAAATAAATAAAATCTTTAAAAAAAAAAAATCTGTACTATTACATTTTAAGAATCCCAAACTTTGTGGTCAGGAAGAACTATTAAAGTCCAATCTCATTAATATGGAAGAAGTACAACTAATCTGTAAGTTGGGGAAAACACATATAACTCAGACCTGTGTGTGGATAAGATAAGATTAAGCACCTAGGGGACACCTGGGTGGCTCAGTAGGTTAAAGCCTCTGCCTTCAGCTCAGGTCATGATCCCAGGATCATGGAGCCCCTCATTGGGCTCTCTGCTCAGCAGGGAGCCTGTTTCCTCCTCTCTCTCTCTGCCTGCCTCTCTGCCTACTTGTGATCTCTGTCTGTCAAATAAATAAATAAATCTTAAAAAAAAAAAAAAAAGATTAAGCACCTAGAACAGTGTCCAGTAAAAAGTAATCAGCAGAAGGTAGTTTCTTTCTCTAGCAGAACACTTAAGGAAATGCCACATAAAGGTAAGAACAAATACAATAGGCATGATCCCTCCCAGGCTACCAAATCATCTTACAACTTTTTTTTAAAAGATTCACACCTCTGTAGTTGAGCTTCTCAAATTTAATGTATGACGACCATTAAGAGTCTTGAAACACACTCCTGAACAAGCAACAGGTCAAAGACGAAATCTAATTATCTAGTAATGAATCAAAGTGGAAACACAACGTGTCCAAAGTACGAGATCCAGCAAAACCAACTCGAAGAGGGAAGTTTATGGTACAAACAGCCTCACCAAGAAAAAAGCCCTGAAACAACCTATCCCTGCACCTCAAGGAACTAGAAATAGAACAAACTAACCCTAAAATTAGCGGAAGGGAGGAAATGATACAGATCAGAGCAGAAATAAATGAAATAGAGACTAGAAAATCAATATAAAAGATGAATAAAACTAAGAGTTGGTTTTTCGAAAAAAAAAAAAAATAATAGCACACCTGTAGCTAGACTAAAAGAACTCAAAACCATAAATCAAAGAGGAAACATTACAATTGATACCTCGGAAATACAGAACATTGTAAGAGACTACTATAGGCATTTATACAACAAACTGGATAACCTAGAAGAGAAGGAAATGTTCTTAGAAACATATTACCTACCAAGACTGAATCAAAAAGACTGAGTATCTGAACAGAGCAGTACAAAGATTGACTCAATAATCAAAAATTGCCTAACCAAGCAAAAACCAGGGCCAGATGGCTTCACAAGTGAATTCTACCAAATATCTAAAGAAATAATTCCAATCCTTTTCAAACTCTTCCAAGAAAACTTAAAAATGCTCCCAACCCTCTTTTTCCAAGGCCGGCATTACCCTCGTCCCAGAGCCAAAGACACTACACGAAAGTAACAGGCTGGCACCCCTGATGAACAGATGCAAAAATCCTCAACACACACCGGCAAACCAAATTCAACAACACATTAAAAAGATCACACAACATGATCAAGTGGGATTTATCTCTGGAGAGCAAGGATAGTTCAACACATGCAAATCAATAAACGTGATACACCACACTGACAGAATGAAAGATAAAAAATCCTATGATCATAATCTTAGCAGATGCCAAAAAGCATTGGACAAAATTAAAGCTTTTCCTCTCATTATAAAAAGTCTTAACAAAGTGGGTACAGAAGGAACACAGATCATCGTAATAAAGGCCACATTTGGCAAGCCCACAGGTAACATCATACTCAAGAGTTAAAGGTTAAAAGCATTTCCTCTAAGATCAGGAACAACACAATTATGCCCACTCTCACTTCTATTTACTATTTACTACTGGAAGTCCTAATTAGAGTAATTAGACAAGGAAAAGAAATAAAAGGTATCTAAATTGGAAAGAAGTAAAATTGTCTCTTTTTGCAGACTATGTGATCTCATATACAGAAAACCCTAAAGATGCTACCAAAAACAAAAAACAAAAAACCTGTTAAACCCATTCAGTAAAGTTGCAGAATATAAAATCAACATACAAAAATCCGTTGTATGTTCAGATAGCAAACTATCTGAAAAAGAAATTAAGAAAATCCCATTTACAATAGCATCAGAAAATAAAATATTTTGAATAAATTTAACCAAAGAAGTAAAAGATCTATTAAAACTAAAACATTCATGAAAAAACTGAAGACACAAATACATGGAAAAATATCCCATGTTCATAGATCAGAAGAAATAATATTGTTAAAATGTTCATACTACCCAAAGAGATCTAGAGATTCAAAATTCCAGTGGTGTTTTTCACAGAAATAGGAAAAAACAATCCTAAAATTTATAGAGAACCAAAACAGGCTGTTAGTACCAAAGCAATCCTGAACAAAAGGAACAAAGTTGGAGGCATCACACTACCTGATTTCAAAGTATACTGATTTCAAAATTTATTTAATAAAACAGTATATTACCGGTGAAATAGAGACCAACAGAGTGGAACAGAGAGCCAAAAATAAATCCACACATTTACGGCCAACTCATCTTTGCAGCAAGTGCCAAGAACACGTATAGGGAAAGGCCCATCCCTTCAATAAATGGTGTAGGGAAACTTGTCTTCCACATGCAAAAGAATAAAACTGGACACTTAGCTCATTCCATATATATAAGTCAATTCATAATGAATTAAAGATTTAAATATAAGACCTAAACTATTTAACTATTAGAAAAAAAACATAGGTTTTTCAGAAAAAACACTGGTCTAGGCAATGAATTTTTAGATATGACCCCCCAAAGCAGGCAACTAAAGCAAAAAATAGACAAATGGGATGGCATCAAACTAAAAAGCAAAGGAAAAAGTCAAAAGAGTAAGGAGACAACCTATGGAATAGGTGAAAATATTTGCAAACCACACATCAGGTAAGGGGCGAATATTCCAAAATTTCTAAGGAATGCAACCAGTTCAACAGGTAGAACACAACCAACCCAATTCAAAAATGGCAAAGGACCTGAACAGACATTTCTAAACAGAAGACCTACAAATCACCAGTAGATATATCAAAAGATGCTCAACATAACTTATTATCAGGAAAATGAAAATCAAAACCACAATGAAATATTACCTCACAACTGTTAGGATGACTATTATTTTAAAAAACAAAACAAAACAAAAAAAAAAACAACCATTGGCATGGAACTCATACACTGTTATGGGAATGTAAACTGAAGGCAGCCATTATGGCAAATAGAATGGAGGTTCATCAAAAAAACAAAAAAAAGAACTACCATATGATCCAGCAATTCCATCTCTGGGTTTAAACCCTAAGAAAATGAAAAGGATACTGAAAAGATACCTGCACTGCCATGTTCACTACAGCATTATTCATGATAGTCAAAAGATGAAAACAACTCAGTGGTCAATGCACAAATGGATAAAGATGTGGGTGTGTACAGACACACACACTGGAGTATTATTCAGCACTGAGAGAAGGAAACCCTGCCATTTTAGGATAACATGGATAAACCTGGTGGACATGATGCTAAATGAAAAAAGGCAGAGAAAGACAGACTGTATGATCTCACTTCTAGGTGGAATTAAAAAAAAAAAAAAAAAAAAGTAGAACTCATAATAGTAGAGAGCAAAACAGTGATTACCAGAGGCTGGGGGATAGAGAAGATGAGGAGATACTGGTCAAAAGATACAAAGTTGCAATTACAAAGGACGAGTAAGTCTAGAGATATACAGTATCTAGATCTCTGGAAATACACTAAAGGAATGGATTTCAGGTGCTCCCATCACAAAAGAAAAAAGTAGTTAGATGAGAAGACAATGTTAACAAGCTTTATTGTAGTAATCATTTCTCTATGTATAGGTCTATTAAATCATCATGCTGTACACTTTAAATACGTACAATTTTTATTTTTTAAAAAGGATTTTGAAAAACAGAAGAAAAAGGTTAGCTTACCTGAGCAAGGAGAATATTTATGACTTCCTCATTTTCATTCATTTCTTCTTTGGAAACATCCTCTTTTGAAAGACTGGCAATCTCTTGCGCAATCTTGGTTTCGCACTCCTGATCAAATAAGACAAATGAAGAACTGGTCAGCCCAAATGTAACACATATTCAACAATTTCACACCATCACCATTTAGAAGTTTCCTTCTCATTTCCTAGAGCTGAAAAAGTAACAGTAACAGCCAGGTGAACTATCTGGATAGAGGAGGATTTGTTAACTGGGCTTGGAAAATAACATGCTGATCTTAGTTTGTGGCTGCACCATGAAAATGTTCAATTCTGGTTAATGTGTTCACCATTTCTGGAACCCATCCATATAAAATTATATCCTGTGATACTTTTTTGGGGGGAGGGTGTCAATTTTAAGTATGCAATTCAATTAATTTTGACAAATGAATACAGCCAAGTAACCACCACCACCACAATCACGATATAAACATTCCCATCACCACACAAAGTACTTTTCACCATCTGCTGGCACCTGACAACCACTGACATATTTTCCATTGCTATAGTTTTCCTTTTTCTTGAGTTTCATATAAATTGAGTCGATCCATAAGAAATCTTTTATATGTGGCTTCCTTCACACAGAATAATGGTTTTTTTAAACTATTCATCTATTTTGCAGTTTGTATTAGTAGTCTGCTGAGTAATACGCCATGATACACCAATTTGTTCATCCATTCACCAGCTGATGGACATTTGGGTCCTTCCTAATTTTGAACTATTCTAACTAGAGCTGTTACGAACATTTCATACATATATGTTTTGTGTGGGTATGTGCTTTCTTCTTTTAAATACCTAAAAGTGAGATTGCTTGGTCATATGGTAACCGTATGTTTAACTTTGAAAGAAACTGCCAAACTGTTTTCCAAAATTACTATACCATTTTACATTACCAAGAGCAACAATGAGAGGTCCAGTTGCCCCATGTTCTTGTCAACACCTAGTTTTTTTTTTCTTTTTCTTTTTACTTGTTTTTCTAGAGAGGGAGAAAGACGGGGAGAGAGCAGAGGGGAGGGACAGGCGGAGAGGGAAAGAGAGAAAATCCCAAGCAGGCTAGAAGCCCGATACAGGGCTCAATCTCATAACCCTGAGATCATGACCTGAGCCAAAAATCAAGAGGAAGATGTTTAACTGATGGAGCCATCCAGGTGCCCCAATATCTGGTATTTTCAATTTTAGTCATTCTCGTTGGTGTGTAGTAGTACCTCATTGTGACTTCAACTTTTATTTCTTTAATGACTAATGATATTGAACATCTCTGCATGTGCTTATTTGCCATTTGTACATGATCCTTGGTAAAGTGCCTTTTCAACTGTTTTGCCTTTTTAAAAAATTTTTAGCCTTTTTAAAACCGAATTATTAATTGTAACAAATGTACCATACTCTGGTGGGAGAGCAGAATATATACAGGAAATCTCTGTACCTTCCTCTCAATTTTGCTGTGAACCTAATTCCGCTTCCAAAAAAATAAAGTCTAAAAAACCCTGAATTGTCTGTCTGATGAGTTTTTTAATATATTCTAGTCCTTTATCAGGTATGTGTTTTTGCAGAATATTTTGTCACAGCCTCTGATTTGTATATTCATTTTCTTAATGGTGTCTTTTGAGGAGCATGTTTTAGCATGCCGATAAAGTGCAATCTAACAAATTTTTGAGAGAGGAGGGACAGAAAGCGCACATGAGCAAGAGTGTGGGGCGGCGGGGGAGGGGGTCAGGTGGCACAAGAGAGAGGGAGAAGCAGACCCCGATGAGCAGAGAACCGGATGCGGGGCTCCATCCCAGGATCCTGGGATCGTGACCTGAGCGGAAGGCAAACACTTAACCAACTGAGCCACCCAGGCACCCTAACAAATTTTTCTTTTACAATTCATGGGTATTGTGTCCTATTTAAGAAATCACTGCCTAAGCCAAAGTCATTAAGATCTTCTACGTTTAAAAAAAAAAAAAAAAAAAAAAAAAAAAATCTATGTTTTCTTCTGGAAGTTTGCTTTTTTGTTTTTTGTTGTTGTTTTGGTTTTGGTTTTTTTTTTTTTTTTTAAGGTCTTAATGTATGACTCATTTTAAGTTAATTTCTGTATATGCAGTGTGGAAAGAGTCAAGATTTTGTTTGGTTATTCTTTTTTGGTATATAGATATCCAATTGTCCCAATACCATTTATTGAAAAGAAAATCCTTCCCCACAGAACTTTTTTTTTTTTTTTTTAAGATTTTATTTATTAATTTGATAGAGACAGGGAGAGAGGGAACAGAAACAGGGAGAGTGGGAGAGGGAGAAGTAGGCCTCCCGCCAAGCAGGGAGCCTGATGCAGGGCTCAATCACAAGACCCTGGGATCATGACCTGAGCCAAAGGCAGGCGCTTAACGCCTGAGCCACCAAGGTGCTCCTCCCCACAGAACTTTTATCCTCTTTGCTGAAAATTAATTGTCCATATGAGTGTGGTCTATTTCTGGACTTCCTATTCTATGTCTACTTTTATCCAATATCCACTGTCTTGGTTACTGTAGCTTAATAGTAAATCTTAAAATCAGGTAATGTGAATCCTCCAATGTTGTTCTTTTTCCACAGTCATTTAGAACATTTGTATTTCCATATAAATTTTAGAAAAGCCTGTTAATTTCCACAAAAAAAAAAAAAAACCCTGTTGAGATTTTGACTGGGACTGACTCCACAGATCAATTTGAGAATATCTAACATCTTAAAAATATTGAGATGCATCACTCTATTTATTTAGGTCTTTATTTTTCTTTTTAGGTCCAATATCCAACTGCTCATTCGCTAATCTCAAGAAATATAATATAGTGTGCATCTAATCTTGTAACCCACAACCCTGCTAAATTCACTTATTAGGTTTTATATAGATTCCTTAGGATTTTGTATGTAGACAGTCATGCAGTCTACACATAAAGACTTTCTTTCAATCCGTATACCTTTTTCTCTTTATTGTACTGGCTAGAATGAACCTCCAGTAAAACGCTGAACAGAACGGTGAAAGCAGAAATCCTTGCCTTATATACCCAATCTCAGGAGAAAGCATTCAGACTTTCACCGCTATGTACAAAATTAACCACAGATTTTTTTCAGACACCCTATATCAGGCTGAGAATGACATTTGCTGAGAGCTTTTATCATGAATAAGTGCTGAATTCTGCTAAATGCTTTTCTGCATTTACTGATATGATCTTGTAGTTTTTCTTACTTCTTGCCATAATGAATTCTATTACTTCTATCTTTAAATTTATTTTTTGAAAAATAATTTTTAAAAATAAGTTTATTATTTTATTTTAAAAATAAATTTATTTTATCTTTAGAAGTAATTTATTCCTGGATGGGCATGGGGTGGGAATAAAAAAATAGAAATAATTTATTCCTCAAAGTTGAAATCAACTTGACAGAATCTCATGAAAATTTATGAATGAATTAGCACGTATAAAAAGACAGCATGAAGAAAACTGACAAAGGTAATCTATCCCTTTCTATGTGCTGTCACAACTCCTTTTTCCAAGAGAGAAGCAGAAGTAAGAGTAATGAAAATCAAACACACATTATCCCTGTCATAGGTCTGAGACCCTTCGTTCGGAGTCTGGTGGGCAAAAGGGACATGGTTCACAGTTACAACCATGAGGTCGGTCAGTCACCGATCCCAGGCTGAACCATGAAGGGGACAACAATGACAAACAGGCACAGGAAACAAAATAGATAATCCGGTAAGCAGGAGAAAATAAGGAAGAAAAATACACAAAGGCTTTTGCCAGTCCTAGAGTACATGTGTAAAAAAGCCCATGAATGCTCCCTTTCTGATGAAGCTAACTCCACAAAAATGTACACTCTCCCAGTCTGATGAATGCTAATGTTCCCTAGAAGGAACACCGGGGCCTGGCACTGAATTTGCACACGGACTGCAAGACAGTCTAGAGATCTGAGATCTGAGCCTCAGTGTGGCTGAGCAACTTACAGGCTCAGAGCCAAGCACCACACACTGAGCTCGAGGAGATCAAAAGTCTGACTCGTGCACCCCAACCTTATCAGGAGTCACATGCTAGTCTTCCTATTATTAGGTGAATAAAACTCCTCCTAATCTTCAGTACCTCTCTGTGTTTCCAAAGAGCTGACTCAAAGGCCTCCAATTCCCAGTAGTCTCTGAAATGTATTACTATCCAACCGCTTCTGTTTACAAGTACAACCAAGCAGGAAATGACAAAACACCTTTCAGTAAAATCATCTGTTTAATTAATTAAAAAAAAAAACAACTTTCTGGAGAGACTCCCTATTAGGATGAAATTTAGCAGCTATATGAAACTACTTTCAGTTACCAGCCCCCCAAAACTACCTTTGCCTATAGCAAAATGTAGGTATTTATACATACATTTTCTTTGATGCCATTAAAGATTTATTTATTTTAGACAGAGTGGGAAGGAGGGTCAAGGGAGAGAGAGAGTTTAAGCAGACTGTGGCTGAGCTTGGAGCCTGATGCGGGGCTAGATCTCACAACCCTGCAATCAGGACCTGAGGCGAAACCAAGAGTCAGATGCTTAACCGACCGCGCCACCCAGGCGCCCCTTCTTTGATGCCACTAACGATGTTACTACAGGGGCACCTGGCTGGCTCTCCATCCGGACTGTGCATTTAAACCCCACATTAGGAGTAAAGCTTTAAGAAAGTTATACAGGTTATTTTAGCTTTATTCTTTTTTTTTTTTTAAGATTTTATTTATTTATTTGAGAGAGAGAGATCACAAGTAGGCAGAGAGGCAGGCAGAGAGAGAGGGGGAAGCAGGCTCCCTGCTGAGCAGAGAGCCCGACGTGGGGCTTGATCCCAGGACCTTGGGATCACGACCTGAGCCGAAAGCAGAGGCTTTAACCCACTGAGCCACCCAGGTGCCTTCTTAAGAAAATGTTTGTCCCTCTTCTTTGATAAAACCATGACTTGCACATTTATCTACTGAATATCATGGGTCAAACATTAACAAGGCCAGCACTGGGTCATCTCAGTGAACTGAGTTAGTGCCTGCAGAAATAGCCTACGTTGTCAGCTAGTCAGTCTACAAGGTGCTTTTTATATTTTGTTACTTTGGTAACATCCAAGGGGCACCTGGCCAGCTCGGTTGGTAGAGCATGCCACTCTGGATCTCAATGTTGTGAGTTCAAGCCTCATGCTGGGCACAGAGTTTACTTCAATTACAAGAATAGAAGAGTGATTCCCTATTATGCTTCACAGATTCAAAAGTTGTTGATGCTTTGCCCCATTATTGTTTGTACATCTCCTCTTTAAGCATGCACTTGAACATTTCTGGGGTTTTTTTTGTTTTTGTTTTTTTGTGTTTTTAACAAAGAATGGGGGTGGGCGGAGAGAGGGGGAGGGAGGGAGAGAGAATCTTAAGCAGGCTCCATGCCCAGTGCAGAGCCTGACAGGGGACTTAATCTCACAACCCTGAAATGGTAAACTGAGCCAGAATCAAGAGTCAGACACAACCAACTGAGCCACTCAGGGGCACATGCACCTAAATATTTCAGTGTAGATTTTTTAAACAATAAACACACTCATATTAATATGGTATAATTATCAAAATCAGAACATATTAAGATTGACCCAATTTTCTAGTCCAGCCTGTTTCAGCAGTTATCCCAAGTGTCTTTCATAACACTTCTTCAAACTGCCCAGGATCCAACACAAGGTCCACTTATTTTACTTTGTTGTGTCTGTGTGGTCTGTGGAATAGTTCCTCACCCTTCGTCTTTCACGACTTTCATATTCTATCTGTGTGTGTGTGTGTGTGTGTGTTTTATTCTCCAGCTGTGTTCACTGAGGGCCTGAAACCCGTGCTATGACAGTAGCCGTGAGCACACCTGAGCACCCAGATCTTGATTTCTAAATACTGAAAGGAACCATGGCTCTTTGGACAAACAGCCAACTGCAGGGCTGGGCTAGAGAAAATACAAGATAAACCTCGAACATTCTGTTGTGCCAGAAAGAAAGGAAACCTCAAAAACTGATGAGTGCATGTCAGAACACTGGAGCCACTCAAGAGGTTCTTACTGGCCAAATATGTATCGATTAGATTATGAAAGTATTGATTACAGTATCATACGAAGTGTCAATAAATAAATTAAAAAGGTTAAAAAAAAAAAGGCAACTTTCTAAATTAAACATTTCCCTGGTATCAAACTGTATATAATCATTAACTGGAACATTTAAGCAAATAAATTTCCCGTCAGGAACTTCACTTCAGGAAACATGTATATATTGTGTTTTTAAAAGCAACTAACTGGGGCGCCTGGGCGGCTCAGCTGTTAAGTATCTGCCTTTGGCTCAAGTCATGATCCGGGAATCTTGGGATCAAGCCCCGAATCAGGCTCCCTGTTCAGTGGGAAGCCTGCTTCTCCCTTTCTCACTCCCTCTGCTTGTGTTCCCTCTCTTGCTGTGTCTGTCTCTGTCAAATAAATAAATCTTTAAAAGGAACTAACTTAAAATAGTATATAAAGAAAATTCCAGCACATTCAGTTTACATTCCATCATAAGCATGATATACCAAAATGACAAATTTACTCACCTGTCTTTTAGCTTCTCTCAGTTTCCTTTTGAGGGCTGTCAAAATTCTTTGTACTTCCCATAATCTTTCTTCTTTAGATAAATCCTTTACCCCAGCCTGCAGATCTCGATGTAAACAATTCAAAAGAAACTCCTAGAAGACAACATGCCACACACTGAGTAGTGTCCCGTGTCTTATCATCTTAAAATCACATCCACATGCAATTTCTCAAGACGTAGAACCAACTATCTTTCATTTATCACTAAGGGAACGAAATAACAGCATGAATTATTTTTTCAAGCATATGACTGAAAAATCCTTTTTTGCCTGGACATTAGGTTCTCATCATTAATTTACATTGGTTGACTAACAGTTCGTTCATATCCCTTCCTATCAACAACTAATAATGGGAGCTCAAAGTAGATAAAGGAAAGAAAATCAAATAGGAATTTGATAACGTGTATGCAAATAAAAGACATAATAATCATCAAATATAAGTAGATTTCTCAGTCTTGAATTTCTTAATCAGTTTTGCTAAACACACACACAACCAAATGAACTATGTCTTCTATCAAAGTAGCACAGTGGAAAAGCACAGGATTTGGGTCAAATCCCGGTTCTATAGTTCAGTAACCATGTGGCACAGGGTCAGATATTTAGTTTCCCCAAATTTCTTTGTATCTGTAAAATATGGCTGGTAACAGCAACCTTGTCCAGATAAGCTAACATTTTTGGACTCCTTACAACATGCCTGGCGGCATTATCTCATTTATGGTAATAAGCTTCACATCAAACCACAAAATGACCCATTTTAAAATGGGATCACCATGGCTTACAGAGTTTGACCAATCTGCCTAAAAATCAGTCCGCTAAGAGAACCTAGGGAGAGCTTAAGGCCAGGTCTTTTGATTTCAAAACTATGTTCTTTCTACAATATTCTTACTTCACTGGCATGAAAGTGCCAGACAGAAATTTCTGCCTTCCATGTGCCATGAACAATGTGTCTAACATAGGTCCAGACACACACAAATGCTCAGTGAACAAGAACTGCTCCTACTAATCATCACTAGCAATCATCATAATCATCCAAAACGGTCAGAGCAAAGGTAGGCTCTTTGGGACTGAAGCGTGGGGCTGAGCACACACACCTGTCTTCTGATCTCCTCCTTGATGTTCTCCTGGGTCTCTGGCAGTGTGGGCATAGTGGCCATGTTAGACCATCGAAGAGGTTTTGTCACTGGCTTTAGTATCACATTTCCAAAGAGCTCTTGCACATGTGTGAAAAACACATATAGGACACGATTGCTAATCTAAGAAAAAATAAATAAAAAGATTTGCAAAAAAAAAAAAAAACCCTATTCAAATTATCATTTTATTTCATTTAATTTGTGTCTGTTGCACAGTATATCCTTTAATCCTAGACATGGGGATGACAGTTTTCCTCAGTAGTGACCAGATATGCTTTGCTAATCAATGGCCAATTGAAAGAAAAGAACAGAAAAGCAGCAGGAGTTCAGTCGGGTATTCCAGCACCGTAAGGAACCGGGTGGGGTAAAAGGACAGGAGAAAGGATGCAGAAGTCACTGGTCATCAATTTGCTCTTTTTTAGCAATATAATATTAACTGATTTTAAAAAATCTTATGTTCTTTATTCTCAAGTTATTTTGAGACCTTTTAACACACACAAGTAGATCCACTGAGGAACATGAAGGAAGTGAGAGCACTTGCAGGTGTCAAGCTGGGCCGCGTGCAAGAACCCTGACTCCAGAAACGATGCCTTGGGGGCAGATGTGCACAGCTAGCATTTAAATATGCTCATATGCTAGATCAGGACTTCAATTATTTTCTACCTAACACTTACAATACACTTGAACCTTCTATGAAATAATTGTCCCCAATATAGTAATATCAAGTAACAATGTAATATTTACCAAATTCTGCAAGCCTGACTAGTCTGAATGATCAAACTGAAATCTGAGAAACATTTTACCTCCTAAACACAATCAATGAACAATGAAAGTGTAAGAAAATACCCTCTTACAACTGTGCATTATAACAGTGGCTGATAATAACCTAGTATATTGGCCAAAAAGAGAGCTTAAAATAAAAATACAACCATCACTCCATTTTTTTTGTCTTTTGTGTCTAGCCTCAATAAAATATCAATAATTCTAATTAAAGGAAAATATATGCTCTGTGCCAGCACCAAATGAGGAGCAATAAACAAATGCCAAATATTTATGTTGTAAAGAGACACCAATTAACACACTACCCAGTTCCCTGAAATGTCTCCTCAGATTAAATTTCTGTAACATCCTTCCCTAGGATCTATCTTTATGAATGAAATCACCAGGTTAAGTCCCTGACTTAACAAACAAATGATGTTAGGCCCCCTTGTGCCTGAGTCTGATATGTGGACATGATATAATGAGGCAACAGTGCTATTCGAAAAAATAAATCTTTGAAATTCTACAGATGAACTCTGTAATCGTGGGAACCATGGGCCTCCCTCCGCTCACGATGGATCACTGCCATCAGAAACTGGTTTAGAAACCCAGACCAAAGACTGTACAATACTCAAATTACAAAGCTACACGCTGGTCATATGATGACACTGTCCATATCCTGAAAGAAAAAGACCGATATTCAGGCTAATCTACCGTCTACATTTGCTGGTTAACTGTTCTGAATGCGACCCAGCAACAGAAAATGTCTCTGACACTCCCCAGGGTCAGCGTCAGAGGGCACATGCGCAGAGAAGGTCATGTACCTGAACCGTTGGGCTGAGCACTATAGAAATGTTCTGTATATTCATTTTTGTTTCCAGTTCCTTTGCGATAACATGGTCCATGTGCACGATCAGCCAAGAAATCAGGAGATAGTTACATTCTGGCAGTTCTTTGAGCAAGCGCTGGAATTCCTGCACCTTCTCGCTCTCTGTGCTCCTTCCACATGCCTCCTCAAAGCGAGGCATCAGCTCTTTGGTAAGCAGATTCTCCGGAAGGTCTCGCAAATACTGCTTCAACAAACTGGCTACAGTGTTAGGTTCATACTCTTCCAAATTGGGAGACTCCTCTCTGTCATAGGCCGCTTTCAGCTCATCCACCTTTGATTTAATTCCTAAAAACATTCAAATTCCAAAGAGAAAGAGTATCAAGAAAATATAAATAATCAAACACAGCTTTTTTTAGCATGGCACCCGCTCCTAGGGGGAGATCTGGGGAGAGCCAATCTGACAACAACAAACCTCTAGTTATGAAGCATTTATCCGCTCAAGGTGTGCACAATTCCTCTATGAAGAAAGTAATACGAAAGACCACACTGTGTGGGTGAATTCAACCAAAAGCTAAATAATGGAAACTCAATACTTAGAAAAAAAACATGAGAGCAATCACAGAATATCTTAAGTTTCAAAACATGCCAAGTGACTCGGGGGGCAATGTTTTTTGTTTTGTTTTGTTTTGTTTTGTTTTAGTTTAAATCTAGGTAGGTAAAAATTCAGGCAAACATTCAACTACAATCCAAGCATAAATCTTGCTCCACATGAGTGGCCAACTGCCTTTTCTAACAAGTTACAAGACTGACAACATAAAACACAACTCAGTATTTATAAATGTGTCCAAAAGTTGTGAATAATTACTTTTTTATAAGCAAACATATGATAAATGCAAAAGGTGGGTTTGCTGTCAAAACACACTCTTTGAAAAATCTTGTCCATTAAATAATCCCCATCTGATTTCTATTTTTAAGTTTCAATTGTTATTTCCTTAATCTGAAACACAGCTGGAACCAAAAAAAGTGAAACTTGGGTTTCTAAAATCAAATTGTTTTGCTTTTCTTAGGGGACAGAAAGAAATGCTGACACACAAAATGACTGTTTTTCAAACATTTTATAAGTTTTTAAGTCCTTAGGCCAATCTGCATTTAAGTGATATGGATTCATAAAAGTACAAGGTAGCTTTCTGTTGTGTTTAATGCTCAAAACTTTAGGCCAATTATTTGAAACAAGCCACAGATTAAGGCGAAGAGACTGTAATGGTCGATGCAAATACTCCAGTGTCATCTAATCTGAACAGCATTTTATAATCAATAATGCTTCCGTCCAGGCTTTGACATTCCTTATCTTATGTGAAAACCTTCCTTTCCAAAAGGTCTGTAACTTATCCAGCACTGACAAAATCGGTTAACTCTAAGTATGAAAGTAAGAAGACAAAGCTTATTTTTATATAATGGTCATTTTGAAAAAGAAAATAATTCTTTTTTTTTTTTTTTTTAAGATCTTATTTATTTATTTATTTATTTATTGGAGGAGGGGAGGAGCAGAGGGAGAGGGATAAGCAGACTTGGTGACGAGTGTGAAGCCTGACGTGGGGGTCAATCCCATAATCCTGAGATCACAACCTGAACCGAAATCAAGAATTAGATGCTTAACTGCCTAAGCCACCTCCGTGCCTCAATAATTCCCTTTTTCTTGAGTGACAACTTCAAGTAAAATTCTTAGCAAAGACCTCCTCTATTTATATGTATCTAATTTTTCTCCCCCATCTGTCTATCCAGAAAACTGCACAAGTAAACAACTAAAATATGTGTCTGGTTTGCTGTTACTCTGAAATTATCAAAATGTTTTCTTTTTAAGAATTGGACACTTCAGGGACGCCTGGGTGGCTCAGTGGGTTAAGGCTCTGCCTTTGGCTCAGGTCATGATCCCAGGGTCCTGGGATCAAGCCCCGCATCGGGCTCTTTGCTCAGCGGGGAGCCTGCTTCCCCCTCTCTCTCTCTGCCTGCCTCTCTGCCTACTTGTGATCTCTGTCTGTCAAATAAATAAATAAAATCTTAAAAAAAAAGAATTGGACACTTCAAATAGAACATCCTAGGTAAAGAAAGAGCATGTCCAAAATGACATATATTTGTTCTAAAACTGGAATTTACATATGAATAAGAGCCAAAAATCTCCAGCAGAAAGGAGTATTGTTATGGGCACTCAAAGAAAGAAAAGTCACAGCCATAAACTCTAATCCAGAATGCAGCACACTGTCAGAGCTTAAAAAATAATAAAAAATTGATCAAAGCAGAAGCTCAGCCTCCAGGAATCAATGATCAGGGGAACAGCTCCATTTGAACGCTCTGGCACACAAAGAGAGGAGTTCTGCAACTCTGACTCTCCAAAAGAATGCAAACATCAAAAATAGGTCAAAAACAAAAGAATCTGTTGAACAAAGCTGTAGAAACTCTTCAGAGAAACTTTCACCTCCAACAAAATTCCTTTCTGCCTATCAAACTCATGTGAGAAAAGCAGCTATGTCAGTACTGTTTAAATCTTTACAAATCAATTAATCATTAGTTAGGGGTTTTTTCATCATTACTTAGCTTTAAAAGTCAAATTCTGGGGGGCTCCTGGGGGGCTCAGCCCATTAAGCAGCTGCCTTCAGTTCAGGTCATGATCCCAAGGTCCTGAGATCGAGCACCACATCAGGCTCCCTGCTCAGTGGAGAGCCTGCTTCTCCCTCTCCCTCTGCTTACTGCTCTGCCTACCTGTGCTCTCTCTCTCTGTCAAATAAATAAATAAAATCCTAAAAAAAAACAAAATAAAAGCCAAATTTTCAAATTCATTTAAATGTGTTTATTTTCATGTTACTAAAGATTTATAAATTCAAATTCAATGCCTAACTTGTGGATTTTATTTTCTAGAAAATGGTTAACATGTTAGCTAGAATACTCTTAAACAATGACATGCTATCTAGGGGACTAGGTAAAGGGTTCCCCAAATACCAAAGGTGCCTGTCCCTTCCCCAAAAAAAGAAAAAAAAAAATATCAAACCTGCCCTCTAAAAATGTGTATGAGCCAAATAAATGGAAAAACTCAAGAGAGTCTCTCTATATATTCTAAATGTGTATGATTTGATTCATAATGAAAACGTGTGACCAACAAGTTTTTATAAAACAGATCTCAGTATTAAGAAACTGAATCACAGGAAGGCGATGATCTGGAGGACAGATGTTGCCACAGGCAGGACAGACTTCTACCCTATATAGTTCAAAAGTCCTACTACTTTGTAAGAAACAGAATCCTTTTCCTTTAATCAGTACAATAGTATACATTGTGCTTGATTTTAGACACCTGAATGAATTCTATTCTTGCCAAACATGAAATTTTAATTTTCACAGATAGGGAACATACATAGATGGAAAATCAGTTTTACTCATCTATGGAACAGCTGCACGCAGCTGACAAAAGCATTCACATTTGGGCCTAAACATTAAGCAAGTAACATTTGTATGTCCCTTAGCCGAACTCAGGGAAGAGGATTATGTCAATAAAAGTGTCTCGCGGGGGGCGCACGGGCGGCTCAGTGGGTTAAAGCACTCTGCCTTCGGTTCGGGTCATGATCTGAGGGTCCCGGGATTGAGCCCCGTATCGGGCTCTCTGCTCAGCGGGAAGCCTGCTCCCCTACCTCTCTCTCTGCCTGCCTCTCTGCCTTTGTGATCTCTATCAAATAAATAAATAAATAAATAATCGTTTTTTAAAAAGTGTCTTGCGGCCAAGACGCATTGTTCACCCAGATACCCTTCCTTGTCCTGCTCATCTCCCTCATAACACTGAGCCCTGCTCAGAGAGGAAGGAGGCGGGAAGAATAAAGCACAGTCTGAGTGCACCAGAGGGAAGGGAGGCTACTCAGATGCTTCTCTTTGACTCGGGGGCTGCTCCCAACTGTGAAAACTAGTGTGGAAAGCCTCCTAAGGGAAGGGAATATCACAGAAAAGCAAACTGTGGACACACACACACACAAGCTGGGGGGTATTTCCGCTCAACTGGAAGGATAGAGGAAATGGACAAGACTTAGGACCCATGCCACAATTTTCCTCACAAGTCGATCATTTTCCTTCCTGTGAAAAACGGAAGTGAATTTTCAGACCATCCAAGAGGAGTGCGTATCCCCAGTACCTGACACTCTGTAGATGCCTTCACACTTCATGCCGTACTTCTCCACGTAATCCACGCACTCGCGGAACACCGCCGGCAGCCGGATGCCGTCGTACATCATGGTCCGCTCAGCTGCATCGGTCAGGGGAACTCCGAAAATGGGCTTGAGATTGGGGACATCCATCTGAGGCACCTCTGGCTCCTGAATTGGCTTCTTCTTTTTCTTCTTTTCCTTCCACTGTTTAACAACATCAGCTGCTGTCAAGTCTTTCGACTTCTTCTCTTTATGTTTCTCTTCTTTGTGCTTTTCTTCTTTATGTTTTTCCTCTTTGGGTTTCTCTTTTATTTTAAAATCCTTCTCTTTCTTTTTAGAAAAGCTGGGCTTCTTAAAAACATGGATTCCCTTGGACCTTTTCATTTTGGAAGGACTTTCAGCTTCATCTCCAGAGCTATCTTCCTGAAAGGCAGCATAGCCTTCAGCTGCCGAAGAAGTACAGGAAATAGAAGTCATCTATCTGTTTAATGTCAACCCAGCCATAAACTTCCTAAAAACAGGACCCAAAAAAAAGTGCTACCAGGCACTGGCTACCTCGCTTTTCACTCCTGGCCAGTGCCTCCTGGGTACTGCCAGTAATGAAACAGGTTTCTTCTCGGGTCAAAGGAGATGAGGCAGTGACATCTCCTGACCACAAGACGGGGAAATGCAGAGGACCAGTTACCTTTACGACTGGTTTTAGGTGGAGTTTTGGCAAACCAAGTATTATGAATACACAACAAAGGATCTACAGAGGGCTAATGGAAAGGGTCCTTCTATAATAGAGCTTTTTCTCATGATCTGACAATGTGCTCGTACTCACTTTAGATTTTTTTCACACATTTGGTCCCTGTAATTTGAAGCAGTCTGACACCATGACACAAATGGCACTGGTGTTTGGAGGCTCTGGTACTTCCCCTATCACACCCTGCCCTCCTGTCACTATCTGTTAAGTTCCTTCTGGAGACTGGAGCAGGGACTGAAGCCTCAGGTGGATGAAGGACAGAGCCAGGAGATTCCCTCGCCTCTGGGTGGTGGCCGATGCATCCACCCATTTCCCAGCATCACGAGCCCTGGTTTCCACACTGACGCTCTGTATCATATTAGAACTATCCTCGCTTGGTTTTGTTGCCTCCAAATATAATTCTCCTATTCTTTTCTTTAGCCAGCTGCCTTAAAAGCTATTTCATAACAAAAATAAAAAATTATTTCACAAATCACCCTCTATTTAAAATACTACAACCAGAAGGGCGGGAACATGGAGGGCATGATACCATGATATAAAGCCAATGCAGTTCTCAGACAATGCTGGTGTGAGTGTAAACTGGTACAACCACTTTGGAAAATTGTTTTGCATGATCTACTACTGCTAAAATGAGCATGGCCTATAAGAGAGGAACTCCAATCACAGGCATACACAACAGAAATGTATAAACACCTGTGACACTCACAGAAGCCCTATTCATGAGCCAAAGAAGGCAAACAACCAAATGACCAATAACAGCAGAGTACATTCTAGTATATTAATGCAACGAAACAAAATCCGGCAATAAAAAATGAATTACTGTCACGTTAAACAACATGGATGAATCTAACAAATGTACCTTTGGGCAGAAGAAACTAGATGCAAAAGGAAATATGCTTAATTTTTATAAATTCAAAATCAGGCAGTTTCAAGCTATATTGAAAGAAGCTTTACCTCTGGGAAGGGTGGGGGATTCCCTTTGAAGGGATAATGGAAGGGAATTTCTAGGGTGCTGATAAGACTCTATTTCCAGATGCTTCTAATTATAAGGACATATATCCATTTTGCGATATCTCATTCAAGTTATACACAATGTGTCCATTCTACCTCAGTGTTATGCTTCAAAAAACAAATTAACTTAAAAATACCATAAAATTCAAAATAAAGCAATACTTGAAATAACTCAACTGATCTGCTTTTAACATACTAAAGAGCTATGCTTAAACAACCCACCTTTCCTACTGAATAGGAACTATAAATAGAATGCATTATGGTATTTGCTTAAGACAAACAAATAACTACTTTTTTCACAGTTCCAATAAAGTGTAGTACCCCAAATGGCTTACACAACCTAGCCAAGAAAGTAATATTCTATATAAGTAAAATTCCAATATCTACTTCTTATACATTATTTAAAATAACCAATATAAGAAACTTCTACCAAAAAACTTTACCATTTGTGGAAACTTGGTATTTTTATTCACAAGAATAGGACCCTAAAATACAACTCTAGTATACAAAAATTGAGACCCAGAAAAGTAAAGAACAGAGAATGTCAAACAAGAGTCTTTGGACATATTCCAGAAGACAGCAGGTAAGGGATCAGAGTAAGAGTTTATCTAAAACATATCAAAAGCATAGAGAAAAATGGCACTTACTCCTTTTTTCTTTTTTCTTAAATTTTCCTTTTTTCTTCCCATGGTCTTTCTCATCATCAGACACTATGTCAGGAGGTTCATGGAGGCTGTCATGGGGAGGCGAGGGCTCGCCGGTGCGGTACAATCCAGGGAACTTAGTAGGGCTGATCTCCTCAGAGCTGGGGGTTCGGGTAAGACCACTGCCATGCTCCACCCTGCGGTGTTCACTGGGGCTGCTGGTGGGGGGCAGGAAGCACTCAGTCATTCTGCCTCCCTGATGAGACAGTGAAGAGGGTTTCTCTGTTACCTATCCATTACACCTGCACATAAGGGAAAAAGGTCATCAACACCAACCAAAACACAAAAGCACCAAACACACACAAAACATGGTGAGTAATCTCGCATTTACAAACCAAAAATATTTCTCTTCACGACCCCTCTTTAGAAATATTCCTTCATTTTATCATCTCAAGTTATATTCCATTCATCACACATTTCAGTCCTCAAAGAGCTTTTGTAGAAAGCACCAGCTAGCTTAAGTACTAGAAAAATAAACCAAATGAAAATCAGAATTCTCAAAGTAGTATACAGAGTTTCTTTTACAAAGAAGTCCCCCATTGTAAGGGGTTTCATTTTGGTGGCTACATAAATCTTACTATTTTCTTTAAGGTTATGAACAATGTGTTCATATTATTTATGAACTATAATTATTTATGAACTATATTATTTATGAATTATAATTATTATATTATATTATAATTATTTATGAACTATATAATTATTTGTGAACTATATTATTTATGAACTATAAATAATAAATTATAAAAACAACTTATATAGCTATGCATGAATAGTTCAGAATCATTATTAAAATTTACAATAGCTGTAGTGATATATTTGATGATTCACACAATTATAGATGCTTAAATTCTATATTGCATGATATTAAGTCATTTCTGTGTTGATAATAACTATTTTATCTTGTACTGCAATTTTGTTGAAAGAAACAAGGGAGACCTTATTTGTTCAATCCTAAAATACAAACAAAATAGATTCACTAGAATGGACACTGCAAAGGACAAACACAGTAAGAACTCAAGATTTGTTCACTTTTTCTTCCTTAGAGGTTACAGTCCACATACAGTGTTCAAAAGTTACTTGGATTAGTTCTTATTCCTCATTAATATACTTATCATATTCATTTGGAAAACTACTAGGATCACTTGTTTCTCTTTGCACTTACTTTTAAGGTTATTTTGCAATTTTATTTTTTTTTTTAAAGATTTTATTTATTTATCTGACAGAGAGAAATCACAAGTAAGCAGAGAGGCAGGCAGAGAGAGAGGAGGAAGCAGGCTCCCTGCTGAGCAGAAAGCCCGATGTGGGGCTCGAACCCAGGACCTGGGATCATGACCTGAGCCGAAGGCAGCAGCTTAACCCACTGAGCCACCCAGGCGCCCCTATTTTGCAATTTTAAAAAATCCACAAGCCCTACATGACAAGACCTTTTCTTTTTTTTTTTAATTGATTTTTTTTAATTTTTTTTTAAAGATTTTATTTATTTATTTGACAGATCACAAATAGGCAGAGAGGCAGGCAGAGAGAGAGAAAGGGAAGCAGGCTCCCCGCTGAGCAGAAAGCCCAATGTTGGGCTCGATCCCAGGACCCTGAGATCATGACCTGAGCTGAAGGCAGAGGCTTGAACCCACTGAGCCACCCAGGCGCCCCGACAAGACCTTTTCTGACCATGAACACAGTCAAGACAAGCAAATATAAGAAAAAAAAATTTTTTTTAATTGCAATTTGCAACAGCTAAGTTCTTTAAACTGCAAAGAGTTCTTACAAATCAATAAAAATATGAACAAATCAAGATACCTACACAAAGGATATGATGTAATTCATAGAAAAATGACTAATATCCATATGAAAATAATGTTCAAGTACAATTCTAATTTTTTTAAAGATTATTTATTTATTTATTTATTTGACAGAGAGAGAAAGAGAGAGAGATCACAAGTAGGCAGAGAGGCGGTGGGGGAGGGGGGCAGATTCCCTGATGAGCAGAGAGCCCGATGTGGAGCTCCATCCCAGGACCCTGAGAACATGACCTAAGCTGAAGGCAGAGGCTTAACCCACTGAGCCAGCCAGGGACCCCCAAGTACAATTCTCATTTTTAAACCATAAAATAAAACAGTAAGTTACCAATTTTCTAACATCAGACTGTAAAGAACAAAATAGTATATAATACCAAATATTTGTAAAGATATAAGCAGAGAGGGACTCATGAGAATATCTACTAATAATAGAAGTATAAATTAGCAGTCTTTTTTGAAATGCAATTTGGCAATATATACCAAAATACAAAATGTACTTTCTGATCCACGCATTCCTTTTAGGAATCCTCCTGATATACTTTTACAAGAATTCAAAGACATACACCTGAAAATATTTACTTCAACACTGTAAAAGCAAAAACATAATGATCTTAATGGCTATCTATAAAAGATCAGTTAAATTATGACTTATCCACATAATGGAATACAAATTAATACATACAATTTATGAAAGCATTAAAGAAACAGTTAACTACTGTTAACTCCTGAAATGGTAAAAACAGGAGAGAGAGAGGTTTTTTTTAATTCCTTCTACATAGTCTGAAACTTACTGTGTTCTTTTATTATTTTTATTACTATTGTTGTTTTAAAAAAATGCACAGGCCGTGTTTTTTTAATTTCATAAAAATCATGCAGCATTTAAAATCACATTTTTAATACTATTTAATAATGTGGGGGAAAACAACTTTACAGCACAATATCAATACTGAAGTATATAAACATATATGTAAAAAAAAATTCGTAAAAACAGGGGTGCCTGGGTGGCTCAGTCGGTTAAGCGTCTGATGGGTCAGGTCATGATCTTAGTGTTGTGAGATCAAGCCCAGGGTCAGGCTCTGCACTGGATGCCTCGGCTGTTTGGGATTCTCTCTCCCTCACCCTGCTCACACACATGCACATTCTCTTTAAAAAAAAAAAAAAAAAAAAACAACCTCATAAGAACCAGAGAATGTTAATAACAATTATCTCTGAATGATAAGATCATAGGTGACCTATGTTTTCTTCCTATCTTCCTGCATTTCACAATTTTTCTACCCACGATGCATTATTGCTCACATAATCAGGAAAACATAAAAAAGAGCAAAAAGTTCCATTGAAGGATCTGTAAGCATTACTCTAATTCTTCTGTTTTTCTGTTTGGCTACTTTTTTTTTTTAGAAGAACAGGTTCTTTTCTTTTCAACCAAAGGCATCGTAAGTTTGTTTGTTTGCTTTTTAAGATTTTACTTATTTATTGGACAGCGAGGAGAGATCACAAGTAGGCAGAGAGGTAGGCAAAGAGAGAGGAAGGGAAACAGGCTCCCCACCAAGCAGAGAGCCCGATGTGGGGCTCCATCCCAGGACCCTGAGATCATGAGCTGAGCCAAAGGCAGAGGCTTAACCCACTGAGCCATCCAGGCCCCCCAAAGGCATCACAAGTGTTGACGATCACAGGATTTGAGAGTTTAGGCAGAGCTAGAGCCCAGCAGCCTAACAGTTACACATTACAGGTGAGGAAACTAAGCTCCAAGGACCAGGGAATCCAGAACACAGCTGCCAGGAAGAGCACAGCTGTAAACTACAGAAATAAACCCGCTGATAGGCATTCCTTCCACACTGAGCCATTTTGTCCTATGCTCCCCTGGCTTTGTGCATGCTGTCTTCATTCCAGAGGAGCCCGCCCTCCTTCCCGCACTTCTGCATGGCCAATGCACACTTATCCTTCACCATGATGCCTAAAAATGGGTATGAAGAATCTTTTTGAAGTGATGGAAACAGCCTAGATTTGGATGGTGGTAAAGGTTACAACAAACTGGTTGATTTACTAAAAATCACTGAATTACACACTTAAAGTGGACAGATCTTATGATATGTAAATTATACCTAAATAAAGCTGTTCTTTAAAAAAAAAAAAAAAAAAAGGAACAATTACCAGCAACATTTTATCCAGGAATCCTCCCTCATCACTCCTTTTCCATGCTCCCAAAATCTCCGAAACACACCTCCGGCACTGCAAGCCCTGTGTTGTTTTAATTGCCTGGGCACCCATCTGTCCTGTCCAGCAAATTTGTAAGTTCCAGCATTTAACACAACACAGGCATTACAGGAGGTACTCAAACATTTACTTAATGAACTAATTAGTTTTTTCCATGTTCTTAACATACTGTGTACTGCCGATGAGACAAAGACTAGAAGTGAACCCTTTGCCTTACATTTTAATTAAGGAAACAAAGCAATGGAACCCAAATTTTATTTGAATTCCTGTGGCTTCAGCAACATTCACATACATTAACTAAACTTAGTACATCCTGTGAGAAAAGAAGTACTTTTCCATGTTCACAAACAGGAGTGGGTCACAGTGACTTAACCCTAAGTCACACAGCAAGAAGGAAAACTGGGATCTACCCTGAAAGCATCCACTCTTCCCATTACACTGCCCTTCGTGTCGACCATGCAGAGGAGAGGACATGCATGCCAGGAGGAAAGGCGCGGTACAGACACAGGCAGGAACACAGGGCTTATTTGTGGGATGGCAGCAAACCTGGTCTGATGGGAGCAGTTCCTGGGAAGGGCAGGAAAGGCATGGAAAGACAAGGTGGGTTCTGACTGAATGCCAACTGAGGGCCCAGCTGAAGACATCAGCCTTGATGTAGCCGAGTCCTCACTAATTCCAAAGCCAGCAAGCGACAAAACTCACAGTAAGAGGAGTAAGGGCAGGAATATGTACAACCAAACGCCACACAGATTTGGGTTGTTCTCTCCTGTCCTACAGAATTTTGTAACCTATGTCTACACACACACACACACACGTTCTCCCAGTTCATTTGTTATCATTACTCAATTTCCATCCTAGTCTGGTGGAGAAGACAGGTTTCCCCATAAAGCGTTCAACAGATTATCTTGCAAAAACTACTTGAGACAAATATTTGTTGACTTGCCTCCCCAAGAGTTGGGAATGAGTAGAAGGAAGAACAGCAGCTAACAGCATACATGAAGGGTGAAGGCCTGAATGCACAATGATGTTAAAACATTAATATGCTTCCATTAGGACACACGGGACCACTGCAGGAGCCACTTCACCAAATAAATGGGCAGAAGCAGCCCTAGAAGGTCCCTGGTAAATTTGAGTATAAGTAGCCTAAGGTAAGAAAATAAAACAAATATTAGAAATTCCTACTTCTAAGGCAACAGAAGAACTGATGTAAATTTGTAAAGATTTGAAAAAAG